TATATCAATTTTAAAAACTTTAATTTTCCAAAATTCAGCATTACCCCGGTCATGTTTTTTTTTTAAGTTCAAAGTCACTCCAAGTATTTTATGGATTAAATAGGTGTTTGCAAAATAAATAAATTAAGTAATAAATCAAACCATTTGAAAGAATAATTAAATAATTAATTTTAAAAATTGATAGATAAATATTCTTTGAAGCAACAATATATTAATATTTCATAGTTATTTCAGAGTTATAAAAGAACACAATTAGTCTCTTAACACTTAAAAAAAAAATACTTCCATGTGTTTAAAATAATGTTTCAAAAATTTTTAGGTAAGTAACTCTGTGTACTAAATTGACAATCCCACATCTTAGGTAACCGTACAGTGCTCTGGGAGTGTGTAAACTTCTTCTTTTTGCTTCAATGAACATATACAGGGGCGTACTGTGGCATATACTGTGGTTTACCGTAGTTGTTTGTAGGAAACAGTAGCCATACAGTGGCATACTGTAGGCGTATCGGGGCCTACTGTATGTAACTGTGGCATGCTGGGGATACATACAGTGGCATACAGAGATTTACTGTATATACAGAGCTAGCATACCGTAGGATACTGTAGATATCCTGTAGATTACTGTGAAAATGCTGTAGGATACAGAGAAAGACAGTGGATTTTCATACGGACAGGGGTTTTAAAAGCCAGTAGTGTCTCCTTTTGAACTCAACTGTGTTTTCTCTTTCTCTTGCCTTCTCTCTCTGTTGGTCATAATCCTTTGAAACTTTTTTGGTAATTTCTCCAGGAGATAACATCACAGACTGACACACCTGTAATTAATATATACATATTCAATGGAATTTTCAAGAAAAAAAAAACAAAATGCAAAAGGTCATGTAATTGTGGATCTATTTTGATTCATTTTAAAATACTCACTTCAGAAACATATCCATAACCCAGGTTTTTTTGGGCAATGGCGGCTGCAACTCGATAGTCATTGCTCTGTGACCCAGAGTAGAAGTTGGCTTTAGGTGCCTTGCTGGAAACTGTATTGTTCAGACTCTCGTTAGGCTGAGAACTACCTAAATGGGTTAACTTATCAGCTTCACTTGCGTATTTATTCAGCAAATCCATAACGGAAGTCTTTAAATTTTCATCACAAAGGTACCTGCTGTAGGGTAGGTTTTTGGGTTTGTACTTTAGTGGGTTCTGCAAATATTCACACCATGAACCACAATAAGAATGGTCTCCAAATACATGTTTACCTAGTGCCAATAAATTTGTCTTCATTTTATCCGCATCTTCCTGATGTTGTGATACACAGTATCGAAAACATTTCGATAAGTGTGCAATTGTTTTTGGTGTGGGCTCCTTGAAATTCCTTGCTTTCCTGAGATCATACAGTTTATTGGTAAAGTCCTTGAGAAGGTGATTTCTATCATATTGCTTTTGTAGGTCAGGTTTTACTTCTGCACGGGCTCTGGATATCGTTGTTGAGTCGTTGTCCATTATGATAGTTCCAACACTTATATCATTTCTTTCCAGATTTTTTAACATGGAAATGCACATATCTGCTTCCATAGCCTTCGAACTACCCAATTCTTTCTACAATCATGGTCTTCAACACTGCATCCCCTCTTTGTTGCAAGGTCACACTTTCTACAGTATTTATTTCTAGTTGAAAACGCAATGCAATTCCCAGTTTTCTTTCCAATGAAAGAAGCATGACCTGAAAAATATATATAAATATAAATTGACCATCAAATTCTATTAACCCTAAGAATAACAGAGAAACAAATTATGTCTGATTCAATTAATTATTACTTCATTTTTTTTAACTATTGAAAATGCTAGAAAACTTTATAAACATACTCAGATATTTTATACTACTTGAAAAAAAAACACACATACATGTTTACATTTTTTATATAAATTTCTCCACAAATGTTTTCTCAAATAGGAATGCAATTTTTTTCCCCATGAACTCAAATAATGAACACGAATACCTCATGACTTTAAAAATATAATGAAATCAATTTTTAATTATCATTCAAAATCATATAATGTGTGATTTGTCATCATATAAATAATATAAACATATCAAATTAATCTGATATTTGAAAAGTCATGAGGTACATGACTACAATACTTCATGTTTGCATATATTTATAATGAAGCATGAACACACTTCATTTAGATAGAGAATAATACATACCTTTTTCCATATCACATCCTGTATCAGCCCGAGACACCAATATCAGCCAGAGGGTCGAAGGCCTGAGGGCTGATATTGGTCGAGGGCTGATACACATTGTGATGTGGAAAAGGGTATGTTTTAATATGTTTATTACATACTTAGTAATAAAATACAGCATATATTAAGTTGAGAAGCAAGTAAGTAAATAAGCATGCATGGACTTCTTACATACATGTACATGGTCTTTTGTCTCATACGATTTGGGTTTGATCCGTAATTTAAAAATAATCTATTACATGTATTTGTAAATTGAGATAAATTAAGATTAACCTTATTTTCAAAAAGTTAAAATTAAGAGAATATGAGCCCACCAAAAATTGTGTATGATAATAAGTACTGTTTTGTACTCTATTGACGTCACAATAGCCATATCAGCCCTGCAGGGCTGATATGGGTTTGCAGGGCTGATAACCTATATCAGCCCCGCAAATCCATATCAGCCCTGCAGGGCTGATACGGCTATTGTGACGTCAGGCATATCGCATTTGCAAAAATCCTGTATTTATTGCTAAGTATGTAATAATTATATAATAGTGTTGCATTATGCATGTATTATGCCTAAATAGTAGGCAGGGTTTGACACATGGTGCACGAGCCGGAGGCGAGTGCACTATGTGTCAAACCCTGCCTACTATTTAGGCATAGTACATGCATAATGCAACACTTTTGTTATTATTATGCTGACTGTTGTAATTATTTATCCGGCAATCCATTTGAATTTTTCCTGAAAATATCGGTGCTTACACAGCGCACTTGCAAGAACTCATTCAAAATCTTCATGCTAAAATTGGTTGCATGCTTAGTTATTTTGGTTACTAGTATTTTCTCTAGGGATTTTCTGTCCCAAAGCAACTCATCTTTATTTTCTGTTTTGTTAGTAAGACATTTGATTGCAGACGACACGTCGATTCTCATTGATAATTTTCTTTTCCATCCTTCAATCAAGCGTCATATAAAAAAGCGTTTCAATGACCCTGTGAAATCAGTTTATCTAACGATCTGTATGTAATTAGTTTGATACTTTGTTGTACACATTAATCTAAGGTTCCTTAGAGTAATATAACTGTTTTCAAAAAGAATATTTGTCTATTTTCTCCTTCTTGTGTAAATTGTATAAATTAAGATTATATATTTGATAAAATTCCAGCAATCAGTGATCGTCTCTGTGGCGTAATCGATAATGCATCTGACTGACAATCACATGGTCGGGAGTTCGATCCCAGGCGTGTGCATTGCAGAATTTTATTCAGTAAATAATGCCGTGCACTATTTCGGCATAGTATGTTTACGCTATATAAATCCTTAGACCACTATGCGAGAATAGGAGGGTATGGGTTATATAGAGACAAACTGACAGGAAGCATAATAATAGATAATAAATTGCTTTCCTTGGTTGTTAGTACATGAATTAATGTTGCAGCTATTGCAGAAAAAATTACATACCCCGCTTACGCACTGCGCCAGGTTATGTATTTTTCGGCAAGAGCTGCGACATTTATTCTCATACGTTATTTTTCTTTCGTATCAAAGTGTTCACTGGAAAAATACTTTCTTTAATGAATTAAAAATATATAATTGCTAACAAAAATTTTCTTTTATAATGTTTGCTAATTGTAGAGGGTATACAATATATTTATCATTATAACAGTAACTTGATCCGAAGAGTTGTATCACATTTCATTAACAGGTCTTCGTGTCTTGTTAAATCTGATCATTTGCCCCTGTCAATTTGACTTGATACGACTTTTCTGATTACGTTACTTTTATAATAATAAATATTTATATAGAAACAGATTGTTATATATCATAGAGTGAAATTATAAATATGAAGTTATTTATTTTGCAAAAAAATACCAGAAAGACTACTGTAATTAAGATTTCCCTGATCCCCGTTTTTGCCAACCACCATCAAATGATGCAGATACAGGAGATTCTCTGAAGCACAAAATAATGTATAATAAGGTAGACAGTGTACAAATTTATATCTTGTAAGTGTAACAGAAACTTCCTATATTCTACAACTGTCCATTTGTCTTACTCTGTCAATTCTCTCTCTCTAACAGCAGCATCAGAACAGCTGGAATGAGCAATTTCCTCAACAGCCTGTCCTATTTCCCTCTCTCTTTTCTTGAGTGTTGTTTTGGAACAAGGGGTATGTTCAGTGTAGACAATAGGTTGGATACTATCCTTTCTCCTATACCACTGTGAAGCATACATGAATTGCAAAACAAGTATGAAAAAAGATTCTTGAATACTTTTATAAAACATATTGTGCCATTAATGGTATTTAAAATATATGATTTCATGGTATGTCAACCTAACATCTACATTGATATTTTTTTTTATATTTCTTGAACAATATTGTTATACATTATACTGTACCTAAAGCTAACTTGGTGTTCACATCCCACGTTTTTCTTCCCCACTGCGAATCCTTTGGCGAACTATGTCTTTTGCCCGTTGGCACAACTGCCATTCCATCACACAGTTGACATCTGATAGTCAATAAGCTGCCTAAACCATAACGTATCTCATGCACTATATTTGTAATGTTTAACGGTATAGATGAATGGCACACTGAACATCTTTCACAGAGTTCGTCCACAAGAAACCCCAACTCTACAATCCGCCTACCCTGCCCCCAATTTGTCTCTATTCCATAGTCATAACCCCCCTCTTCTTCTTCCAATTCATCACTACATAAATTGTTACTATTTTCTGTACCATTATTTTGTGACATACTAGTATTTCCATCGTCGTCTTCTAATAATGGCACTGGCTCACTGACACACTCAATATTTTCACACTGACTTGCAGGTCTCAAAGAATAAGAATGGTCATTCACAATCTTCCTAACATTGTTTTCTATAAAGCAGTCGATTCTTCTTTTCTTTTGATTCTGATATATATCTACCTGTTGAGACAGAACGGTATCGCTTCATCGTTTAACTGTAATAGATATGAAACTTCAACATCACTTCAATCCCGAATGTTTTTCAGCTGTTGGTTACAGGCTACTAATTTTACCCCTATTTCATTGACATCGCAAGTAGTACCATTTTAAAAATAGAGGTCTTTTTTCTTTAAAATTCTTTGGGGTGTTTATGGAGTAGAAAGCGGTTATTTTTGGGCATAAATGGAAAGGAGAGGGTCTGAAAAAAAATATAAAAATGATAATAATGGGAAATTTTGCTTTTAAGTGCGTAGTAGGAAGGGTGTAAAGAGGCCCATATTTACCCTTTCCTCGAAGAGAAAGTGAAAAAAGCAGGGTAGGGGTTATTTGCGATGCCATAAAAGGACTTGCAGACTATGAATGTTCCTGAGAACTTGGTAAATTTTTGGACTTGAAATGGTCTTACTCTGTGCCAAGTTTCAGGTAAGTTCAGCCGGTGTAATTTTTTAAAATATTTTTTATGTTATAAAGGAATGTATAGCAAAATAATTGGTAGTCTGTGTCCTATCAGGTCAAAGGTCAAAACTCATGTTAATCAGTTTATTGGCACTTTTCGGATAATTTGGAACTAATTATGCTAATTGTTGAAAAAATAAATGGATAAAATTACATTTTAGAGAAGTTAAATGGATTTAAAAAATTAATAAGGGGGAGGGGCCCCTGCTCAGGTTGTCAAAGGGTATGACATAATGTGTGCAATTGATGTGTGTCAAAAATTTATGCAATATGAATATTGATTCTTTATATAATGTTGTAGGTAACATAGAACCCATTCCCCGCCTATCCTGTTATCTTAAATGTCAAATGGAGTTCAAAAACCAAGGTATGTTTTTAACATTTGATTGTTCAGATTAGACTATTGTTAGTAGGAAAGAAATGTCTAATTTCTCAAAACTTGAGCTACTTGCTGTTTGTAATTATAGTTGTCCAAATTACTTATAAATTTGACACAATATTTTATTGATTATGAATGTGAAATGTTAAAATGCTTTTAAATTCATTTTTTTAGTGGCTCATATTAAGCGGATTGTGGGGATGCATGCAGTTGAAGCCTGGATGGGTGACTTAAAAAATTCAGGCCAGTTGCCAGTCAGAAGTGAACAATTTTTGTACCAGAAGCAGAGAAAGTGAGCATTCAGAAAACAAGATACAGCTGTCATCAATATTGCAGTCAAAAGCAGCCAAGTTAAAGGTATACAATCAACTGATTCATAGTTTGTATTATTTTTTGTTTGTTTTCTTTTTTATATACTGTTTTCATCTGTTCATTATCATCTGTTGCTTATTAATGTATACTCT